TAATGAAATATGTACATATGTATTTGCATATGCATAATTTACTTTACAATTGTAGGAATAAAACTATTAGAATCTTACATTTTCTAAACTAGTTTTCATCCAAATATAGAATTGAATTCGCAGAGAATTGAAAGCACAAATATTACAGATCTGTACATATGCACGTGCAGTTTCTGACAATGTATTTTCCTACAATTTGTAATTGCTTAATGTATTAAATTTAGGTGATTGACTAATATATTGTTTGACCAGTAATTTGTAATAAACTATGTACATTCCATTCTATTTATTATGTAATGAGATGTAGCGACGTATTCCATACGGGTTTCTCTCAGCTTAAAAACGATTATACAGGCATACTACATAGTCCGACCATAAGTTCCCGTGAATGTATTTCCGGTGATAAAGCCCAAAGTATTAGAGCTATCTGATAGAAATTTTTGTGGATGAACAAGGTATTAATCTTGTTTAGAAATCATAACTTCGTTTTCACAATTTCCTCCATGGGCTTGTACACAAGACAAGTCGTGGCGAAAACTGCTCGATCGCGGCACGCACGGATTTCCTGGGAAAAGCGCCAGATCTTCAGTAAGTGCGACCTCAGCCCTTCCACACTTGGGTGAAATTTAGAGCATACTTGTACCTATAATTTTGACCACCAGTCATAATTTAGGGGATTAAGGTCTGCAGATACTGAGCACCGTTCTACGGATGAAAAAAAGTCATGAAAATTCGTCTGAAGCCAGTTTTGGACAATTTTGCACCTTGCGCAGGAACAGGGTCTTGTTGAAAGGTCCAATGTCGATTTTCGGAGGGTCCAGGGTTCAGGTTATTAACGTTTGGCTTTAGGACACTCTGAAAATAATTCTTGGCTTCAACTTGTACCCTTTGCGGTAAAAAACAGAGATTTCATTTCTCCAGCCAACTTGCTCCCATGCACACCACGGTGATGACTTCGTATTGACTTCCGCATACTTAAACGGATGTCAGACTTCTGTACAACAAATATCTGGCCTTTTTTTCTATTAAATTTTTTGCCAACGGTGAAAAGTCTGAAATACTTTTGGCACGAAAATTGGCGCGTACCACGATCGACCTGTGGCCGTCACGAGTTATGTCTTGTCTAATTGCCCGTGGACGAAATCTTGACAAAGAAGTTATGATTTCTAAACAATATTAATACCTTGTTAATCCATAAAAATTTCGAACAGATAGCTCTAATACTTTGGGATTTATTACCGGAAATGCATTCACGAGAACTTATGACCCCACTATGTATTGCCAGCTTATAGCCGACTGTGTTATTTTATTATTATATGTGTAGAAGATTCTTTGAGTTTCATACTTGAGTAAAGTTTGCACTAAGGATATTAGATAGTATAATATACTATATATTATATATTGCACAAAATCCAATTATATTTATTGCATTTTATTCTCGAATTATGTAACAATTTTTGTTTTACATTTATTTAAATTAAGGCACAAATTCCTTTCTGACCAAACGGATCCTCTTGTGTGGTGACACACTGCAGTCCTGTGGCACAAAGAGTCCCTTTGTATGCAAACTCCCTAGGCGTAGTTCCCCCGTATATGTACAGTCAATCCAAGATGTATTGGCAACCCCCACGGAAGCTAGAAACAATTGGCTATAACTTTTCCATGCATTATCAAATTTGCATAAAACTTTGTCCGCATTTGGTAAATCTAATGTAGTGTTCGATTATAATCATGCTTCCGATTAAAATTAAATAACCAGCACGTTATCCTGATTTTGATACGAACGAGTCAGGTACGAACCTCTAAAAAGTATTGGCAACCTGTGTCATAATTATTTGTACGAAATTTTTATAACGACAAACCTCTGCGTCTTGTCAAGGTAAGTTAATCAGATCAAAGAATTTTACTTTATCTGCTTCGTAAGTCCAGATTGGTATTGCCTAGAGCCAAAATGTCGACACCAAACAGGCTATTTTTGGCGGAGCGAGGAATAATCTTGCCTCCTTCAAAATCAAGCTTTCATATCGATAACTCAGACAGAAAACATGCTCCGTGATATTTACTATTGGAAACGTATCCAAAGAACATGAAGCAATTATTTTAGTTCGTGGTTTCCTATGATCCGGCTAAAAATGCCTCCTAATCCTAAAATCAATGGATTAATCAAGAAAATTATCACTCGAGATCGGGAGATTTCAGCTCCCATAACCATGTTGAATTTGAGTACGGAATGTGGGGTCAACATAGCATGCAATTTGGTGATCAATCAAAAATCATGCCATGGGGTTTCAGGGTCCAGTATCGACAGGCGGGAAGGTACCCAACGCGAACCAACTCAATAAATTTGAACGGGCTAAATACCATCATTAACAGAATTCCAATGAATGAAAAAGGAGCTGATGGTCTCACATAAGCTCATTTTACCTATTCGGAGCTAATTAAAGGGTTCAAGTCTGCCGGATGCATTAAAAGGCTCAGAAAAACGAATATGTGCATATAGCAGTTAAGCACAGAGGATGATCGATTATGGTTTGGGGTTAAATGACCAGGTCGCGGCGTACTTACGTGGTCATTATCGGTGAAATCCTGACCAGGGGGGTCTAGGTAATCATTCGAAACGATAATTTGAAAAGATTTGAGAAAAACATGACCCAGGGAGGAATTTCATATTCCAAAATTGCAGTGGCCCCAAACATGCATCCAAATTAACGATGCACATTTTTGGAGACCGAAAAACTTCAGCATCTTTCGTTGGCTACACAGTCTCCCGATGTGATTCTTATTGTCCGGGTTGAGATAAGAGCGACTGCTGGGAAATCACTCGTCGAAAAACGAGCTTGTCAAAAGTTCGAAAGAAGATTGGGAAGCAGTATGAAAAAGCGTTAGAAAGAAACTGGTCGAGTCAATTCCAAGGCGAATTTTTGCTCTTATTGCGTCGAGGGGAGGTGGTGCGCAGTACTAGTCGCAGTTTATCGAAACAAAATTGCAGTGTCTTTGATTATGATTTTTTTAAGTTAAGGGTTGCCAATACTTTTTGTGGGTTAATTTCGCAAATTTTCCAACAAATTATATAAAAACCGTGCCAATCTAATTTTAATCAACAAAGGATTATTATCATCGAATACCACATTAGATTTGTCAAAAGTATGCAAAATTTCAGGCTAATTGGATAATGCATTCAAAAGTTATAGCCAATCATATTTAGCTTCCGTGGGGGTTGCCAATACTTGTTGGATTGACTGTACGTAACTTTGGTGCTGTTGCCATAGGTCGGAATAAAGCATTGCCCAAGAAGTCCTGAAACGCAGCTTTTTTTCTCATTATCCCATTGTAGTCCAGTTCTAAATTGACAAATACATTTCTCGTTCTTACACATCAGTTGGGCGTTGATATCGCAAACGAGCCGGGTAGCTGTAGCGTAATTGGGTTGGTGCGACGAACATTGCTCACCGAATTGCACAACTATTAATTTTAATTGCCAATGACAAAAATTAAATTTGCATGCAACGAAAAACAAATAAGTAAATTGTTTTAAATCGTGTCACATTTACCTTTCACACACGGCGCTTGTCCGTAATGAGGACTATCCAAACCTCTTATCGAAGTTTGCTTGGTTGCCGTTGGATACTTGGCGTTACATTGACACCACGACACCTTGTCAAGTTTCGGTACCGGGACACATTCCGCTTCCGAATCGCAGCTTAAATAGCCTCCCGGGCGGCAGGTTGATCCAGTATGGACTCGGCAAATTGCTGCGTCCCTGTCAAAATAATTATCCAAAGAATTAGGACAGGAGCACTGACCAGCCACGCATTTCATCAAGGTCTGCCGGTATCCACATTCTGCATCGGAAGAGCATGTCTCGTCAATTAACTTGGAGCAGGACAGCCCTTCATACGATGCAGCCCGGCCCGGCAAACAGGAGCATATTTTGGTAACCTGGTTACATGAACCTGCCACACAGCCTCTAGTTGTCGTATGATAAAAGTTCGGGTCGCATCTTGTTCCGAGAAGAATGATGCATTTTTTGCTGGTTGGATGGTAAAACGCGTCCGTTACGTTTGTATGACACGCGCAGAACCCATTTTGGCAGGATAAGAGGGCGCTCCGATCGCAGTCCTCGTTCCGGTTGTAAGGGACAGTTGCCTTACAGGCTTGTCCATACTGCAGGTAGGCCAGTGATGGTTGAACTGCGAGTGACAATAGAGAACTTAAAATTAATAATTCTAGGTGTACCAGGAGCACCGCCATCGCGAAGTATTAGAAACACTAAAGTGTTATTAAACGTTTTTAGAAAAATGACGCTTTTATGATGAACCTTGCTCAGTGATGTGATTTACGCAACAGTTTTTCTGTGAATTTGAAGACAATCATCCATATATTAGAATCTCTGTAAGTAACAATGAATGAACTTTTGTGTACTTTCACAATGAGGTTTGATACATTAGGTAACCATTTTTCTGAGAATTTGTCAAAATCGGGCATTCAAAGCTGTGTTTGTAACAAGTAATGCACATCTGCGAGATTCTAGCTACCATAATGACTCTATTGCTAATCAAAATGCATAACATATTCTAATTTATCGTTTCATAACGATTTCTTGTGAGTGTGTAGGAGTGAAGGACGTCAGTAAATACGACCCATCTGTTAGTACAGAAGCATTTTTACGTGCACATAAACGAATAAATACATAAATGTGCGAGTATAGTTTGGTCCAACTTTGTGAGCATACGTTGGGAGACCTCTATTGTCGGTGAAACTGCACAGGCATGCTTCCATTAGTTTGAAGTACTTTGTTTAATTAACCAAGTGTTTGTCCAAGAATGCGAAAAATTATACTGGATGAAGTTCATCTAGCCACCAACACAAATAATAATACAAATATTAAACATTTCTATGCACGCAATCTACATCGCTGATTTTCAGTCAATACCTACATATAAATAAGAGATCTACATCTTTAGCTTTGCTATGACACTAGTGGAATGCTATGAGTCAAATTGGATAAAATATAGTTGGTGGTTTTTATTTCTCTTGTACACATTGAATGCTACAGATATCTGGAATTGTCATCTGATTAAATTATTGTTCTGTAAATACTCTGCATAACTTGGAGGTGGGCACGTTTCGTCAACAAGAGTTGGAGATTCAAGTGGATCACTTAATATGACCGTATGATAATTTGGGACCAGGTCGATGTCCAATATGCACATTTCTACGGAAGTGATAGGAGCGCTTGGAAGAGGATCATCAGGGTTCTGGTTTGATTCAGATCCGGTTGTCTCTTGGGGTTCTCTGCAGTCACTGCTGCATAACCACTGCAAATCAAAATATTTAATGTTTCAGATAATATTTACATATTTAGCACGGTTAAAGTAATTAATTACTAAATTCATTTCAACAAAACGTCTAGAAGTAATTGATTTAAATTACATTTATTACATTTCCATTTAGTGTGTAATCATGTAATTTGTAATTAATTACTTAGAAATCATTTGAGTAATTAATTATTCTAGTTTTAATTTTGAGTGCTTAATGTGTAAGATCTGGTTTTTGCGAGATTCGTTTTAGCAGCTAGACAAATTTTTGTCGTGCAGGGATTCGCCAAATAAGACTTCGCAAATCCTTCTAAAACACTTATTCTTGCGCTGTTTCCATGTAATTCCGTAATTTTTCTGGCTGGCGATGGTAAACGTGAGTTTGCGAAATAATCCCCATTTTCTGGGTAAATGTGTAAAAAAATACCATTGTTTTCAAGCAAAGATTTTGCGAACTCTCGCAAATTTCGCAAATATATGTTGTTATGATAGCAATGCTATGCCAAATTTGCGAGATATGCGAGGGTTGACGTGAGTACGCTCATTGAAACATAAACGAAAGGAGAAAGGGAACCTCACCTTAAGGAAAATTAGCCAAGCAATAACATTAATTAAGATAGCTAGAAAAGATATGAACATTATGACACTCATTTTAAAATGAAATTTTACTCTGCCCCTGAATTTCGTTTGTATAGCTTATATCCTTAGCTATGATCAGAAGAAAGTATTTGAGCACAGAAGTGCTCCTGATTGTATTTATATGCCTGCATAAACAGGGAAATATGATATGTTCACGCGTAATGTGATAAATAAATAGTTTTATCGTAGTTTATTATTTTACTTATCAGTACCTGAAGCAAACAGGTTCAATTTCGATAAGTAATTGAGATATGATGCAAACACTCTAAATAATTTGGTGACAAATCGTCACCCGCGGAGGTACGGTACTCTACTAGTTTTGGGTAGTGATTAAGGACATTTTGCGGGAAATAAGCTGAGCTGAGTCGGATTAGCGTTTTCAGAAATCCGATCCGTTTTTTTAAATTTCAAAAATACCTACCCGATCCGTTTTTTTAAATTTCAAAAATACCTACCCGATCCGTTTTTTAGATTTTTAATATTTCCGATCCGTTTTCTGGACACAAAACACGGATTATCAAAAAAAAATCGGATGATGGTCTCAACCAAATCCTCTAATTTTGAGGATTTGATTTCGCAACTAGCGACAAATCTGACGAGGGAACCTCTTATAGTGCCCGGAGCTCCCAGCATAACCACTATGTACATTCGACGTAGATTTTAATACTAGTCCGATGATGTGACAAAATTTCCGTGTCAAAATGACATTTCGTCAAGTGGTGACGACTTTAGTGACGCGCCGAACGGTCACTTTCGCCCATGCTTTCAAAAGAGGAACGCTTTTCACCACTCGCTCCTCACTCATCTCACTTAAATCTCAATCCATTTTTTCGACATAATTTCGCATACGATGGATGGATTTATAATCACGAACTTTACTATACCTACGCCTTGTCTTTTCTAATTTATTTTTTTGGCACGATTGTAGAAGTTAAGAATATTCACCATCTCTTGATAGGTAAAATTTACACCGTCGACATCTTCTTCCTCCCATTCCTGTGAGGTTCGTTGCAACAGACTTGCAAAAGCTTCTCGACGTCTTGCTCATCTTCAGAATCCTCATGAAATTTATTTATTGTATCACTATCACTAATTAAATCGTATGCCTCCACATAAGTGTCAATATCACAATCATAATAAAATTCTAAAGTAATAGAAGATTCAAAGTCCGTATTTGAATTATCAACTAAATCTTCCACAAAACGCAAAATCCGGTCAACAATTTCAACATTGTTAACTGGAATTGATGAAGCGTTCGAATCTCCCGAATACCTGTCCTTGGCGATTTTAAGAACAGACTCACAAATTGATACAATTATAGACATTCTATAATTTTTAAACTCCGAATATTTAAAGGTAAAAAATAATATTAAAAGGCTACAAATAGTAAACAAGGACCATACCCGATCAGCAAGGAAATATGAGAACTACGCAAAAACTGCGTTGCATTTAGTTGCATTGCGGAAATTGCTATAAGCTGCTGAGATTTTGCGTAATTTATTAGCAACTTAATAATATGCTAAAAATATACTGAAAAAAGACGAAGAAAATGTGCATCGTATTGCATATATTAAGAACTGAGAGTAGCTTGCGAATAAATCACGCAACTTCTATGCCTGCCACCGATGAAGTAATAAATCGATGATATTGGGCACAAAAGTTGCGTAAATTATGCGCTAAAACTTTCAAAATTTTTTCGCTCAGGGAAGACGAGAAAGTTGCATAGATTCTGCGAATATTTTGCGTAATTATTTCTTCGCCGCCATTGCTTTTTTAACTCGTGGTCGTACAACGTTCCTCTACCCTGTTAAGAAGGGTAGAGCTCAGACATAAAATATGTATTACAAGTATTCAATCGTCGAGTTAAAGCCAAACAGCAAAAATTATATTCCTGTTGACCTCGTGGCGTCCCTGTGGCTGGCTGAAGGAAAGAAGATTTATTCCTGACCCCCCTGTTCAAGTCCAAAGTTACGAAATCTAGTGTTACGAAAGTGTGTAAAGTTACGAAAGTGCTTCCGCCCCCCAAGATTCGTGGAAACAAGTTCCTTACTCGACAATCTTAGGAAGTTATGGTAAAAATTCATTCTTATCAAATATCACTGATCAGAGCTAAAATTAAATTGTATTCCCATTTAGAAATATATGGAGAAGCCATGAACAAGCTCATCTTAACAAAAGAAACTTCAAATGTGGACAGACTCCGATGCGACTCCAATTAATCGACCAGCTTTGAAGTATGCCAGGCCACCATCCAGCAATTCATCTAATTCAGACGGCGGTTATCTTCCAGAGGACAACATTATTGTCCCGAGCATGTCATTATTTTAAAATTTAACTCATGTTAGCAGTAATGATGGCATACATCAGTTTCGTTATTTATAGTTTTAATCAAATTTTTAAATAACCTAGACTCACTTTGTTTGAAGATAATGATGCTGAAAAGGGGGCTACTGTGAATACTGTCATTGGGACTTTCGATGACGATGCTACCTCAGGACTGGCTGCTAACCTACATGAAAACAGTGAAGCCAGACAAATTTTAAATAAACCAGACGGTTCTACAGATCAGGCTATTATCTTGGTGCAACAACAAAATTTCCGAGCTCCCGATTGTCGATGGTGCAAAATTAGCTGACTTCGAAGTCTGGTTGGCTATTCCAGCAAATCGGGAATTATTAGTTACTAAATTTAATAATTATTTGCTCATAATAATAATTACGTTTATGCAAACAAATTGACTCCATTATTAGGTGCAATTCTCGACCATGAAAGTAATATCTTAGGTATTTATAAAGTTGGTCAATTGTTTGCAATAGATAGATAATAGATAATGTTAATAAGAGGTAGAAGCACAATTTGTCAGAAATGTTGAAATTAATTCTGACAGAGACCAAATATGTGGTTTCCATTGTATAAATGTTCCTATGCAGTCCCTATTTAAATACAATTCCTATTTAATAAATCATTTAATGTGTTATATTTGTTTTAAAATAATCTTAATTTCTTCATAAAAACTGCATAAAAGAAGCATGAAAAAGTTGCAAATAATTTGCGTGAAAATCGCGGGAGAAATATCTGCAGAAATGTTAAGCAAAATGACGCAATAATTCATAGTGATTTCTGCGTCAAAACTCCCGCAAATAATGCGTTGCACTGATAATCAATTCTGCGCAACGTTTACCAACAAATCTGCACAATTTCGGCGGCCATCGGTTGCAGCAGATTTGCTATATCACTTTTGCGCAAATTCAATGATATTTGCGGATCGGGTATTGTCAAAACAGTTAAATTGGATGCGAGTTTACTCAATGAGTAAATGGGTTGAGATTTAAGTGAGATGAGTGAGGAGCGAGTGGTGAAAAGCGCTCCTCTTTTGAAAGCATGGGCGAAAGTGACCGTTCGGCGCGTCACTAAAGTCGTCACCACTTGACGAAATGTCATTTTGACACGGAAATTTTGTCACATCATCGGACTAGTATTAAAATCTACGTCGAATGTACATAGTGGTTATGCTGGGAGCTCCGGGCACTATAAGAGGTTCCCTCGTGAGTCGGAGTAGTGTTGTCAGGTACCTGATTCGGGTTCAAAAATATCTGATTCAATCGGATCGGATCGGGCTACGGTCTATCAGAAAAACGGATATTTATACGAGTCAACTCTAGAAATATGTCAAAAATTCGTATACCAGGCACAATTAAAAAATTAATTCGTTTCTGAAAAAAAAAATCTCCTGTTCAAATATTAAAATTGTGTATTTTTTCAAAATAGCGACATCACGTGTCTTTGGTACACGAGTTGTTTCCTTTGTCTTTTAATTATTACCTCCGCGGGTGACGATTTGACTCCAAATTAATTAGAGTGTAGATATGTATCATATTTTGGCATGCCTTTACTCATTGAAGTGATATACATACATATATGTACGTCCATTTGTAATATTCCACTGATTGCGCGATGACGCGACATTTTCTATTTAATCGTAAAGCGTCATACTTAAAAAGTTTGGCCAATACAATGACTAATCAAGTACTTACCTACGTATATACATACATATTTCTACTGTCCATTTGCGTACAAAAATATATAAATAGTTTAGCCATTTATCTATATATTTTTGTATTGGTGGAACGTATGGAAATGGACAGCAGACCCACGTACTTGATTAGTCATTTAATTAGTTACTCATCGGGTTCAGTAATTACGTAACTTCGGCTACTTCATGCTGGGATCGGAAAACCCTATAGGGTTTTTGTAGAAAAACCCGAATTCGGGGGGTTTTGTGCGTTTTGTGGGGCTTTTGTAAGATTTTTTAACGAATTGAAACAAATGTCATCAAACTATGTTAGAGTAAAACTAATTCAATATTCGGATTTAATATGAAATTTTATGAATTTGAGCTGGAGATCAAAGATATCGGCAACCCTGATGTTTAATAAATAATGATCTACATATCTAGTTTTGCTACGACACTAATTACTTAGATTAAATATAGTTAGATTTTATTTCTCTGATACAAATTGAATGATACAAGATGCCAAAAATTGTAACGACAATTCTTGTCAGTGAAGTCATATATTGACACCGGCTGTGTTGATTTGACAAATTTTTGCTTTGAGTGTAGTAATTCGTAAAATCGGGAAAAATATAATCAAAATTGAGAAGATACGAGTGGACGACAATGTTCGGCCGAGTCAGAGTAGTAAAAATACACCCCGAGTACTCGGTGAATCCTTTTTAAGCATGCATCACTTTCACTCCGCACATTAAATTTCACTCGTGCATTATAGACAATGGCTGCGGAGGTGGGAGGATAGGCGAACCTTGTCCGCCAAGACATCCTGTCTTCCAAATGTTAGTAAGCTCCTCCTACTCGTGACTCAAAGGCTAATGTCCCCCCAAATTCCGCCCCCACTGGCAATTCGATGACGCCAGCGGTCTCGCTCCGATTTTACAATGATAATTTTGCAGCCTTACATAGATAAATAATTAAACACTGTTTCAGGATTAGTCATAATTCTCAGTTTAAAAGAAATTATGGTGGAATCCGTAAGCGAAAATTTGTATTTTTCTCCCGAAAAATCGCGAGCAAAATCTCGAGCAAAACGTCATCCTGGAAATGTTAACTTTCGCTTACGGATGAATGAATGAATTTATTACAATCCTTTTGAGGCCGCTTACGGCCCATGAAGGTACAATTATATGCAAGTGTATAAATAAATTAACATGAGTTCAGATTAAGGTGTGTGGTTATAAATTGAAGTAGGGGTCCAGTGTAGATTGATGACAAATAGGAGAATACAGTTAACAATAAATGTTGCATACACAAGTTGTGCCGTGTGGTTAAATATGAAATATTGCTTGCGTGACCAGTTGGTTAATTTTCGTTTACGAATTCCATCATTATTTCGTCTAAACTGAGCATTATGAAAAATTCTGAATCACATATTGAATTATTTATCTGAGACTACATAATTATCTTTCTTCGTCAAAATCGTAGAGAGACCGCTGGCATCATCGGCTTGTGAGTATAGGCCTTCACAATCTTGAAAATAAGTATTGTTGCAAGTAATCAGAAAGTATAAAATATTCCCCAGTTTCATAGAAGTTTGTTTTTTTAATTATTATGAATATATATAAGAAGGGGAAATATTTATCTTTATAAATTTAGCAAAACCCAAATATTATGGGAAAACTTAATTTACTTTGTTGGCTACTAAAACGACTAGCGCTTTAAATGTCAAATTAAGTTTTCCCATTGTAATTGGATTTTGCTGAATTTATAATTTATACATATAATTATTCGCCTTTCATAGTAATTAAAAAATTAAATTTATAGTAATTAAAAAAGGTGTTATCTCTGATAATAAAGGAAATTAAAGAGTGTGAAATGTGTGAATATTTTATAACGTAACTAATTCCTGATAATCTCGCATCGGTGATTAATAGCCAGTGACTATGTTACGCAACCGAGTACTAATGCTGATGCCAGAACGGGATTTAGACTCATCTATTATGTGGATGAATTAAAATTGCTTTACCTAAACCAAGAAATACGTTTGTGAGCTATTAAATATATTTAACTCATTAGGACAAAAAGTGCTTATTACAGTATTAGGAATACTTACATTTATGATTGTAACATATAAGACACCGATGCTGAACATACATATGTACTTACATAAATGTTATACTATTTATACTACCAAGCATTTTCAAATATCCAGGGGTAATATGCCGATATTCTTGTATAAACCTCCGGATACCCTGGAAATAGAGAAGTTTCAATTGTACCTAAAACTGTAATTCGTGAATATTAAATATGCAATCGAAAAAAATTTTTTAAAATATTTCTGCAGCGGCATGTGAACCTACTACCCCCAATTGTTTATATGAGAGTTGGTCTGACACTGAGCCATACCAACACTTGTATGTATAACCTCTAGCGATCGCATTTATCTTTGAAATTGAATATTTACCTTTTGCACAACCCCCCAGTCCCCAAGATATAATTCCAACTTGAATAGGAAGATCAAGAAGGATGCCCATCAGGGGGCCCCCAGAATCAAACTGTTGGCCATTTCACTCAAATAATATGGTTTCTTAGCGTTGATAAATCTTTTAATATCCAAATACTACACACATACCAAGCACACTCCCTGCCCGACCGGCGACTGCGTACAGATTTGATATTCAGTAATTGTATTATTTGGTTGGGCTTGCGTGTTGCAGTTGCTGTTGGAAATTGTCTCAGTGTTCAAGGCGTAGAGAGACCCGTTCGATGGTATTCCTAAATATTCGCAATATTCTTGAGAAACTGGTCAGAAGCTGATTAAATCTGTGGATTACCCCATCCTGCAACACCAGTGAACACCCCTCCCCCAGTATACGTTTGGGCTATATGAATCCCATAAATTTGGAATGATGGTGTATACAATAAGTTGAGCTGCGAAATAGGACAGAAATCATAATATATATATATATATATATATACTTTGTGGGGTCTGTGACCCACCTAAATAAAACACCTGAAAATAAAATAAGATGTTTTCTACCGGCGATTGCTGATGGAAATCGTTCATCAGTCGTCCATCAAGGAAATATGACGATTGGCAGATGATTTGGCGAAAATAAATTTTCGCCAAAATTACAAGTTATTAATACATTATAGCGAAATTATTTTCATATTTGGCGAAATTGAAAAACTCATAAAAGAACGAAATTTGACGAAATATAAACTTCACATTTGGTCATGTCAAGTACCTTAAAATTAAAATAAATAAATTATTTGATGGCGCGGACACATGGGGCGGAATGGGAAAAACAGCCTTAAACATTATAATTTTGGACGTTTCATGGGTACAAGTAAAACCTCTAAGAACAAGGAAAAAGCGGATACCTTAATCAGTGCAATGTCATGCATCTTGGCGGTCCTATTCCACCCAGGGTGAATCAAGATTTCCGTTGCATTTCTGTAATCACCGCCCGAATGTAGGGAATATGTTCCGGCAACGATGGAGATGGACTCAGGAGTCTTGTAATCCACACAATGCCTAGAAAATTGAGATAAGAATTTGTTACGCATGGTTTCTCAGGTTTTTGAGATCCTTATTTTTTTTATAGCGATTTACGCAGCCGTTAGAATGGTCCAGGCCGCAATGATGGTCCCACCGCAAAAGTGGGTGCCGTTTTTTCTTAAGGAGACCATGAAACCGTGTCCGCTCTTAACTTCAAACCCGCCAAAGACGAGCGGGCTGATTTCTCCTTGCCCTTCCGACAATGCTGGAAATATTAGGAATTTAGTGGATATGCGACAGACTATGAAATCTCGGAAACTTTTGGAATCTTACCGTAACCATATTCCCGGACGGCTTCAAAAACGAAAAATATATATAAGATCTTCATTTTTTATGTAGGCAAGTTTATAAAGTAGGAATGATAATGTCTCGTGGAAGAGTGGATTTTCTGGTTTTATACCGTCCACTTTTCGCTGAGCACCTTGTAATAAAATTTACTTTATGCTCTAGATATCTGTCCATCCGTTTATGAGGCATTGTTTTTATACAACATATAATAAAATTTAAGATTCATAATTTTATTTGAATCTAGCTACATAAGTGCATACCAAACCTAAATATTAAGTAGGTGTGTGAAAATAGTATATATAGAGTTCTGTAATCCTTACTTACGTACGTATGTAATAGAGGCAATAATTCCGGGATTACAGCTTGTATCAATAACAACCACTAATCCAGGGTTTTTGTCCATACATCTTTGTTGTGTGATACTGTCCAGTATGTAGCCGTCCAATAATCCAGGTTGGATTTGGTTACAAACAGAACTTACCTGAGTTAACCTCATATGTGTTAAATCTTGACTATCTGATAACTCGACTTAATACTGCCGACCATTAATGGATCCTGACATGGGGAGCATATTAATCTACAATTAGCATTACCTGAGCCAGGAATTTGCAAACCTGTGCCATAAAATAACCTTTTAAGTCAATTTACGTAATTTTTTATGATACAAATTTATCAACTTATATTTAGACTACGGGAATTTACAAGTGATAAAAAAGCATATGCAGAGTCTGCTAATCTCATAATTATTGGCTTCAGTTTATCCCACTAACTACTCCAGACTGGAATCTCCAGCCTTTAAGGGGAGAATGTTAAGTGCTTTACTATGTCGCTTCGTACATTAATTATGCATACAATGACACCAAGGACGACCAAGAATTATTTCGTAATTTAAATATTTTTATTCAGTAAATATTTTTTATGATACGAATGTGGCATTCTTTTCTCGTGAGTATATTTAGAAGCGTTTTTTACTGGCCCATGTATGTCTGGCTACCCTCCTTCGTCATTCTGGGTTGGTCCCAAAAGTAATTAGCAAAGTGTTGCAATTCTTACGAAAGCAGCTTAATGCGAGATTTAGGCTCCTTCAGCTTTTTAAGCAAAACTACCCAATTTAGTCCCAATCGTTTATTGAAGTTAGCATTTTTTTATGGGGTGAGCCTCTCGGAATATCTGAACTGCGTTTGGGTTTAACATATTTTTTAGTACTCCGCAATCCAAGCATTTTTAGAATTTCATATTTTCGCTTAGTATGTAACATTCCCTGCCTTGGATAATGCAAGCATGCTCGTTTTCATGTGCCGGCGAAAAGGCTTTACCTTTGGTAAAAAAGATGCACAACAAAAATATGAAAGCTAGCAACAAAATCAGAGCAAAAAATTCATCGAAAAATATTTTCAGGACGCCATCTAAATATACCAGATTTATAAGAGTTAATAAGCCTCGTCTTTTCTTTTATCGTACCTAATATCACTTTATACCTTAGTAACTACATGCCGTGATGATTTTCCTCCCAAACTAAATATTTTTAGTGTACCTCAACCTTTTTTAAGCCTTTTCACAAAATTATGTTTAAGCATGGGTGATTTCCTAACATTCCGAGAAGCTATTTTAGTCGCTGCCCTTCACAAATGGGAAAAAGGGCCAGTTACTTCATACAAAGCTCACTACCGGAATAAATCCATCTGCCTAGCAAGGTAAACCCGATTACAGAGTTTTATGTACTTATGTACATACTTCGTACTGGTATTAATTTGGTAATAATTTCCTACCGGATTGTTAGTAGTTTGCTTCTGAGTAAATTTTTCATTGCCACTAGATTACTCAGCCGTTATTATTATAATTGTACTCCGGTTAGGAATAATTTTATCCCAGGTTTATTTATTTTGCAGATTTTATTTTAAAACACCGACACACGAGAAAATGCAAAATTCTACCCGATCGGAGTGCATCCTAATTACGCTCTTGCCCGAGGTAATTTCTTGACAATTTTGAAAAATTGACAAATTGCATTTAAACAATATGCACCTTAAAATTTCAGATAATACACAAAATTATGGAATTTCTGCCCACTCCCGACTTGGAGACGATCTCTCTCGTCAACTCCACCTGGAGGAGGAAGCTCTCAGACATCTCCTGATACGAAATCCGATCGATGTCCACCTCTGTAAAATGACCGAGTCCAAAGACCTTGACCCCCTTAGGGACCTGTCCCCTAGCCACCTCAACATCATAAGCTGTCCCCTCAAGGAGAATTTAGCCTCAAAAATTGACCTATTTTTTGCCAGTAATTTCACCACCGTGGAAAAATTATGTCTCAATATCCCCCTCGATAATTCCTCCCGCCACCTGGCGTCTTGTTCGGTCAAGATTTATGAATCCTTCAGAAATTTGATATCTCTCGAATTTCAATTCGTCTTAACCAATCGGAAAGAATTATTTTCTTCGGATCAGAATTGGACCGATCTTCTGCCTACCGGGTCTCATATGCCCCGAAAACTGACCAATTTGACCCTGAACATGTCCGAACTCTGTCTCGATACGCGAGACATTCTTCGGTGGACTACTACCGTTGCCTTGCTGACCACCCGATTTCTAACGGAATTCAACCACCTGCACCGTCTCAAACTGATCGACACTCCGGGCGGGTTAATTCAAGAACAAAATTGTCTCAATTTACCCCACCTCAAATCACTCTCCGTCCTAAGAACGTTCCAGGTCACGGAAAATCTCACCAGATACAAAATGAGCCAAAAGTGCAAGTCTTTTTCGCATCGATTTCACCAAATTGCACATAAAAAATTACAAATTCAGTTTTGGGTGGGGGGATTAATATAGCATAGCTGTTTTTGAATTATATTCAACCACACCCCCTTCAAAAATTGGGGAAGAAAATTGGGAAAAATGAGAAGGTCAATGTACACTCGGTACAGAAAGAAGTAGATACCAACTTGCATTTGACATTTGACTTCCCTCATGAATATGAACATTTTGATGCATCAAGACTTTCAAAATTCGAAAATTGGCGGTTTTTCGACCTACATATAAATCGTTAAAAAAGTGACCTTAGCGGTCATTTCGCGGCTGACAACCTGATGCCAGATTTTTCTTCGTCAGAAGTGCCACATTTTCCGCTTTTGTTGTCCGCTGCGAAATGACCGCTACCATGACTTTTTTGGGGTCAAAGTTTCTGAGGGAGGGGCTTATACGGCAGGAGCCGTAACAATGTATAGGTATTTATGATATACATAAAGGTAATTACATAGAAGCTATTAAAACAGCCTCAAATCGCCCCAAATTTAAAACTTAAGCTTTTCTGAATTTATAATGATGATATGCATTCGAAAATTAACGCTATGAGGCTTATCAACGAAGTTATCAATTTTTCAGATAAGCAAATTTAGTTTATCCAAATCGCCCCAAACTTAAAACTTAAGCTTTTCTGAATTTATAATGATGATATGCATTCGAAAAGTCGAAATTGGGGGTGGTGGTGGTGGCAGGGGCGAAATTGGGGGTGGTGGTGCAGGTCGCTGCTGCGTGGGGGTGGAGTGAGCCTCCATGTTGCACTTTTTTTTAAATATTTTATTAAAAAAACTTCCACGTTTTTTAAATTATTTTTATTAAAAATTCGGAGAATTTTATCAACTGAACCAACTCGTGTAAGAGATGAAAAGCATCTCAACACGAGTTGGTTCATAATCCCGGTAAACAATTTGAAGAGAGTGAGAAGTGAGACGGACCACCATACGGCACTGGCAACGACAGTCAGCGGTGGTGGTGGATACCCACCAGAATCCGAGTCTCACTCTGCCTTTCGCTAAATAATGGAAACTGCGTTTGTGAAACGGTTGGGCTGGTTCAGCTCACCAGTCTTTTCACCTTTAAGGAACCCCTCGCCCCAAATTTTTTTGGTAACGTGACCAGACTCGAATTAAACCTCTTGATTAACGATACGTCCAACGCACGTGACATATTTGCCCTCCTCGCTCCCCAGTTGGAACACGTATGCATCTCCGCGGTGGAAAATATCTCCCCGAATGCACATCTGTACCTTCGAAGATTTGTTAAAATCCCGATTCTCCCAAGGTTGAAAGTTTTTGAAATTTTGAGACATAAAATTATCCATTGTTCCAGGGAAACCACCTGGTTTAGACCTTATCTCTACCTAAACTTTGAGACTGAGCGGGACAGCGTGAAGTTCGTGTACGGAAAACAATTTCCGGTGTTGGAGAGGTTAATCGTGCGCACGGTTCCGGAGCCTGTTACAAACTTTCCGAGGATAATTTGCAATTTGAGGCGACCATGCTTCTCCGGTTTGAGACTTTTCTGGCGGAGGGTGTCGCCCCGTGTGAGACCTTAAGGAATTTGGATATTTAGTTCCCTGGGGAAAAATGGGATTTAGGCGGGATGCTGATGAAACGGCGGTGTGGAGGGAAAGACCTGTGCAGCCGGTGGGGGTGGGAGGAAGACGTGCCGGATTTTTATGCCAGGATTTCCACCATTTTTCCTAATCTGGATGATTATGGGGTGATCAAGGAGGGGAAGAAGGCCGTGAGAAGGGCGAGGTTAAAGAAGTTTGAGGAGATGGGGGTCATCTTGGGAATTTTTGAAGGGGAGGGACGCATTTCTGAGGAATTTAGAGAGGTTTGTGGATGGAAAAATGATAGAATAAGCTCGTTTAACCTTTTGATTTGTAGAGAAGAAAATTGCAGTTTTATAAGAAATAGTTAAATTCGAGAGGAAGATAAAAGTCGTCCTCCCGAATGGGTACTTGCGAAACACGAAGATGGGTACTTGAAAATAATTTAATAGGCTTAAAAGTCATGTTGTACCCACATAGGATTTTCAGCATTTACACTAACCTGAGCACATAAACCGAGACTAATTAATTATTTATGTCTCAGGTGAATAAGAATTTGAATAGTTCGCATTAATTAATTCCTAAAGATTTGAGTAAATTATTGTTCTAAATTAATTTACCTTTGCTTAAATACGACAATTAAAAGTTTTCGAGTGATTTAAATTTTCTACATAATAAAACACATAATTGAGAAAATCTTGCTTGTGTGAGACGCTGCTAAAAGTTAAAAACAAGGTGTCCGGCCATATCTTAAAATCTTAAAATATTTAAAAATTGATATGCATATCAACTTTAGCCATCATTTTCTAATCGTGTTTGACCTGTTGGTCTTTCCCTTGGCGTAAAGAATTTATGTTCAAAATTTTAAGTCTTTGTATATGTCTGCACGTTCAAAGGTTATCGGACAAACAGACAGACGAACGGACATAACGATCTTATAAAGGGCTTTCACCCCTTAATAACGGAAAATATGTATAGGATGACATATTTGCATACATATGTATGTAACCACTGGTTAAGCAGTCTTAAAACTATAGCACCTTTCCTACCTTACATGTTCACCCTGCACGTCGATTTCCTTAACCTGCCTATTTTTAGCGTTCACAAACCTTTTTTCTTAAACTCTTTTCACATGCTTCTCTCCAACAATGGATGATTCTTAACATTCCGATAAGAACTAACGATAGATTTTAGTCGCTGCCTAGCATACATAAATGGAAAAGGGGCCACTTGCTTCTTACCGACCAAATCGTCACCACCTGAATTAGTTCACCTGGTGAGTTAAAATATTGTCAAAAAGTATTTCATATGTACATAACTTAAAATTAAATTTATTTACGTCTTTGCGAAACATCAGGTTCTTTAAATGATTTTACTTTAACGACGATACCAAATTGCGAAACTGCCCGTAAAATGGAAAATTTTCACCGACACGCAAGTTTGCTCTTGCCCGAGGTAATTTCTTGAAAATTTTGAAAAATTCACAAATTACATTTAAACAATGCGTACATATGTACCTCAAAATTTTAGATAATACACAAAATTATGGAATTTCTGCCCATTCCCGATTTGGAGACAATCTCTCTTGTCAACTCCACGTGGGAGGAGGAAGCTCTACGACATCTCCTGATACGAAATCCGATCGATGTCCATCTCTGCAAAGTGAACGATTCCACAGACCTTGTCCCCCTTAGGAAACTGTCCCCCAACCACCTCAACGTAATCGTGTGTCCATCTATGGTGAATTTATTGTCAAAAATAGACCTATTTACTGCCATACGTTTCCCCACCGTGAAAAAATTATGTCTCAATATCTCCCTCGATAACGCCTTCCGCCACGTGGCATTTCGCATGGTCAAGACTTACGAATCTTTTAAAAACTTGACATCTCTCGAATTTCAATTCGACTTGAGAAATCCGACCCAATTATTTTATTCGGATCAAAATTGGGCCGATCTACTCCCCGACGGCGGCCCGATCCCCGAAAAACTGACCAATTTATCCGTCAACGTATCCCAACTCTATCTCGGTCCAAAAACCGGGCGATGGGAAAACTTGGTTTCGCTAACCACCCGGTTTCTAACGGTGTTCAGGAACGTGCAGCATTTCCGAATGATGGACCCACCCACTAGCCTGATGCAAGAAAGGGGTCTCACTTTGCCCCACCTCAAGTCAATCTGTGTTCTAAGAACGTTCACGGGAATTTTTAACTTGAAGGCCCCGCTCCCAACATTTTTGGGTAACGTGACCCGGTTCGAGTTTAATAATGAAGCAGGGACCAGTGGAGACCACATGTTCCACCTCCTCGCGCCACAGTTGGAACACGTGTGCATTTCCGGGGTGAAAACCATTTCCCCATTTATCGGGACCAGATTTTGCATCACCATTCCGGTTCTGCCGAGATTAAAAGTTTTCGAAATTTTGAGACAACAAGGTTTCCAACGTGATCTAGAACCGTATTGGTTTCGAAGTAATCTCTACTTAAAGTTTGAAACGGGGCGGGATGAGGTTAAGCTAGTGTACGGAGAGCAGTTTCCTGTCTTGGAGAGGTTAAGGGTGCGCCTGGTGCCGGAAAGGGGGATTCAGCATAGTTCTAATTTGCACTTTAAGGCGACCATGCTCTTCCTGTATGATACTTTTTTAGCGGAGGGTGTCGCACCGTGTGGGACTTTGAAAAACTTGGATATTTCGATTCCCTCGGGGGATTCGGATGTGGGGGGGAGGAAGAAAAAACGGTGTTTGGATTGGTGGCGGTGGAATGAGGGGATTGCAGGTTTTTGTGGTAGAATTTCCACCATTTTTCCGAACGTGGATCATCACGTGGTCGAGAGGGGGAAAGTGGCCGGCTGAAGTGCAAGGGTCAAGAAACGCAAGAGTGGTGGTCAAATTGCGAATTTTTGATGACGTATGTATTTACCTATGTATTTATAAGGATTTTTTTGAGTTACGCGACTTGAAAATGGATACCTAAACTGGAATATTGGCTGACTGAGTTATTTACATAGTATTTAAATTTAGATGTAAATATAGATTTACAATATTATTGTAAATCTCGTTGATTTAAAATTTTGCTGGAGGAGCAATTTAGTATAGTATTAATAAACCTAAAAAAATGAAAAACCCAGAATTTAAAATTCCATTAGATGGAGAAATATCCAAATTTTTGACGAAAATGTTCAAATTTAACATTTGGTTGGTATAGGACAAGTCCTTCAAAATGACAACAAATTTTCTTTTTTTTGAAAATGGAGAAAATATTTCCAAGAAAACGACAATTGTCCTTCATCCGAGTAAAAGGGTTGTATTCAGACACGAAATTAGTGGGGGCCTTGGTTTGGTTAATTTTGAATTTGATTATTAGGAATTAATTAGCTCAATAAATGATATTTGTATGTTAGTGGACATCAATTGAAATATTTATTTAGCATCGCCACAAACGAATAATTTCATAGGTAAGCTTAGGAACAATGTTCAACTTATAAGGGAGTATTCGAATTTATGCAAATTAACTTAAAGTAGTGCTCTCACGACTAATTGTTCTACCGGTACACGGCATAAGTAGCCTACTTTAACGTACCCGATACGGGCCGGGTAGCATAATATTATGTTCATAAAAATGTATCGTCTTGTCATAATTATTGCATCAGGCATCTACATAAGTTTGAACTAGGGATGCACCGAGTGGTGAAAAATAAGACTCGGCCGAGTACCGAGTACTCGGCCATTATTGAAACGAGTACTCGGCCGAGCACCGAGTACCGAGTAATACATAAAAATCGGGCAACATCTAATAACAATGGACATCTCCCAGCGTATTCTACCTAATTTTGAAAATCTTAGTGTCAATCGATCACAAATATAATTAATGCATCCAATTTGTGAAGGTGCTACAATTATGTAGACAGGTTTGGCTGAGATATTTGCATACAAAGAGGTGAAAACGTGTCTCAAAGTTAAAAATTGTACACTTTCCAAATTCAATGCACGTTTTTTCCTATTCGGATATAAATATCTACAGTCAATGGAAAAAGTATTGGCAACCCCCACGCCAGCTAAATAAAATTGGCTATAACCATGGAATGCATCATACAATTGGCATGAACATTTGTACCCATTTAGCAAATATAATGTAGTTTTCGATTATAATCATGATTTATTAATTAAAATTAGATAAACGCAGTTTTTAAATAATTTGTTGGAAAATTTGCAAAATTTACCCGCAAAAAGTATTGGCAACCCTTAACTTAAAAAATCATAAATCAAAGAAACGCCAATTTTATTATGACAAACTGCTTCTAGTATTACGTAGCACCTACCCTCGACGCAATACGAGCAAAAATACGTCGTGGAATTGATTCAACAAGTTTCTTTATAACGCTTTTCTATATGGCTGCCCACACTTCGTTCGAACTTTTGACAAGCTCGTTTTTCGAAGAGTGGTTTCCCACCAGTCCCTCTTTTCTCAATCCGGGCAATCAGATCGGGAGACTGTGCAATCAACGAAAGAAGCTTAACCTTTTCGATCTCCAAAACCTTGCATCGTTAAGTTGGCTACATGTTTGGGGTCCCTGAATTTTCGGAATATAAACTTCCTTTACAGGTCAGATTTTTATCAAATAATTTCAAATTATCGTTTAGAATGATTATTTGGCCCTCATTGGTCATGATTCCATCGATAATGACCAGCTACCTACGCCACGACCTAGTCATTTAACCCGAAACCATAATCTCTCCTCTTCTGTGTTTAGCTGTCATAGGAACATATTCGTTTTTGTGAGCCTATTATAGCATCCGCCAGATTTGAACCATTCAATTGGCTCCGAGTAAGTAAAATATGCTTATGTCAGACCAGCAGAACCTTTTTCATTCATTGGAAGTCTATTCAGGGTGGTATTTAGTCCATTCGAATTTATTGAGTTGGTTCGTTTTGGGGACCCTCGCGTCAGTCGGGCTTCTGGACCCTGAAACCCCATGACATGATTTTTGATTGATCACAGTATTGCATGATATGTTGATGCCACAGTTGGTGCTCAAATTCAACATGGTTTTAGGAGCTGAAATCTTCCGATCTCTAGTGATAATTTGCTTGATTCATCAGTGGCTCGTGGGCGTACATAGGTGACTTTTTTCTTCCGCACCATGGAAAAGTAGAAACTGAGATTGTCATTTTATATTTCTTGGCTACGTTTTCAATAGTAAATATGGAAAAGTATGTTTTCTCTTTGAATTTTCCATAAGAAAGCTTTTTTGTGAAAGAGACATGATTATTTCTCGCGGCGCCAATACAGCTCGTTTGGTGTCGCCATTTTGGCTCCAGACAACACAACTGTAGACTTAAAACGTAACTAACGTCATATTTGCTCACCTAATTAACTTACCGGAATGAAATGCGGTAGCTGATTAAGAAAATTGTTTTGCGTAATTAAGAATATTTTCCGTCCTGATGATGATCGCAATCGAGATCGAAAGCTTGACACCATTTAGAAAACAATAAAGTTTTTCTCATTTGTACATCCAAAATGTCCGTAAATAATAATTCTCCTAATTGCGTAATTAATTTGGCCACATGTTGCCAATTCTTTTTGCGGGTAAATTTTGCAAATTTTCCAACAAATTATTTAAAAACTGTGTTTATCTAATTTTAATCAATAAAACATGACTATAATCGAAAACTACATTATATTTGCTAAAGGCCTACACATTTTCATGCCAATTATATAATGCATTCCAACGTTACAGCCAATTTTATTTAGCTGGCGTGGGGGTTGCCAATACTTTTTCCATTGACTGTATCCCATCCTTAGCGTTATGAGATATTGTCTCATGAAAATGTGATATTAACTAAACAAATCTGTTATCGGTTGAAACTTGAAATTAATTTGGTCAGAATGGGTGAGAATACGTTTGGTGGTATCCATTGCTAGTACAGTTTAAAAAATTCTTAATTTCGTCGTCGTTGATGAATTTCGACTTAAAATACGCAAAAATGTTACGAAGTATGTTTTGCAAAACCCAAAATGCAGGAAAACTTCTTGAAATCAGGTTCATGGACAAAATAATTTGTTAAAAATGACCACAAGAATTGAGAAAATACTCGGCCGAGTCCGAGTAGTAAAAATACAGGCCGAGTCGGCCGAGCACTCGGCCTGGCCGAGTACTCGGTACATCCCTAGTTTGAACCCATGTAAGAAGCTCATACATAATTTCACTACTTCTTAAGATTACCATTTCTAACTTTTCGTCATCTACGTACATATATGGGGAATGGAGAGGATTTATTTTACAACAATTTCAAAATACGCCTTATTTTCTTTTTCCGCCTGACTTGAATCCTCTGTAAATCGTGTCCAAATTAATCTAACTCTACTTCCAATTATGGCTGTATTATATTTAACATATTCCAAGACTCCAACCCAGAAACATCCCATTAAACAGACGGCGAGCAGAATGAAAATAGTCTGAATGCTCCCGTCAAGTTTGACCACCTTGAAGGAGCTGAAAGCACCCCGAAAATTTTCACCTTTCCCCAACTTCGCCTCCCTCTCCCTCAAGATTGTCGCATTGAGGGAGACCAACCTTGAAACCTGGGAGTAAATCCCGGAATCCAGAAACGTTTTAAGATATCGGACCATCCGGGATTCCCGCCCAACAACGAAGATAAAACCGAGCTGTCTTTCAAAACTGGTTTTCTCTCCGCGATACCATTTCTTCGTGGGGTAATTTCTCCTCAGATACTCGTAATAGGGCTCAAGCTCGCCAGATTTTCCGAAGTAGGCAGATCTGTCACACTTAAAAAGTTCGTCTTCAATAGCCCGATTTGCTTCTTTGGAGGTCACATTATTCTCGACGAGCCTCAACTTTTCCGGATACCAGCGAACCATTGGATTCATCATGTACCACAGGAAACGTTTTAACTGCCCGGGAAATTTGTCCGCGTCAAAAAAAAATTCAAAGACGAAAAACTCCAAAAATTTATACTTCGCTAGGACCAGCTGTCTTTCATCTGGTGGAAGGAATTGAGACACAACTGTGTAGCAGAATTGGGGCGGCGTGGAGATGCGCTTGCTCATAGAATCTAGAATTGCTCTATATCTATCATACAGTATTGTGGAGTTCCCGCTAATTCGGGGTTGTTTCTCTTGACACGAGATTTGTTCATACGTGTCGACCCGTTCTCCTGGAAGCGGTGAGTTTAAATTGGTGATGAAAATGCTCAGATAGCAGGTGCTTAACAGCATGCCAACCAAGAGCCATGGAACACTTACGAGTCTGAAGGGACGAAAAGTGCGCAATTTTAGAGGGAGATGACCCACCTCGTCGATCAAAAAACCAAAAAAGTGTAATAAAAGGTGCACTAGGTGGATGTTGTTTTTATGCAAAATATAAAATCCAAGAGATACCAGGGAAGAAGATGAGAGAAGTAGGGCATGCAATACCGGGGTTGTTTTCCAAAACCGGTATTCGGTATTTTCGGTATTGGGACCTTCGGTAATACCGGTATTACCGACACGTATGTTAAATATGTATGAAGCTATGGAAAATAATCATAGGAGGCAATAAATACATAATAAAAACTCTGCAAGGCATTAAATGCTGATGTGTAATAAATATCACTAAAATGAACATACTTCAAATCACTAAGAAAAGAGGTTGGTCATATGCCTCTTAACAAATTAAACTATGAGGTTCAAAGTTCCAGTGTTTGGCAAACACAAACAATTTCAAGCGGGTTCAAATCAAATCAAATCAGCTACTGGTTCAAATTTTTAACTATGAATTATCTGATATGCCCACTATGTTCTATTGGCTCCTAATGTGACAACATTTACAAATTCATCAAGTTTTCTACATACCTAAACATGTACATGATCGAAAATTTCCAAAAACTCCAAAATTCTAACATTATTTTAAAATGCATTTCGTGTGCAAATATATATAATTACTCAAACATACAAAAGATATTTTCCGTGAATTTAAAAATTTCTGCCTGAGTCGTAAAATGGTTGTTGGTTGACTGACAATGGAACCTCTTTTTAAGCTACAACGGGATTGACTGACGAGTCATATCAAAAAATCAAGCCGAAAATTAGGAATCACATGACGCTTATCATTCCGTTGAATGGCCACTTTAAGAGTTGACAATATTTTATGTTATTCTAATCCTCATAAATCACATAGTGGCGAAACTGACGAACTCGGTGGGGTATAAAGTTCACAAGTTTCGGTGGGAATTTTGAATTTTTTGCAAAAAACTGCAAATATCATCTGGCATTGTTTATGTTTTTAGTGGTTTCCAGTGGGAAGAGCATGTGTGGTGGTGGCTTCCCACCACGCATACTCAAATTACGCATATGACAAATTGAGACGAATCAGGAAAAAATGCAATTTTTTGAGCTTCTCAA